CGAGAAAACCAATTTTTCAATTTAGGTAATTAGAAATTAATCTAGAGATAACAAACGTTCTTGCCTGTTTCACGTGTCAATTATCAATTCTCCAATTAAGTCAGACGGGACCCTTCTACGATATCTAATGAAATCATAGTTAGTCATAGGAATTAAATGAAAATTAAAACGAAGACTAGTGGAAGAAATAACACCAAGCTCACACTGGTCCTGAATTAAGGTAGAATTATTGTGTGAAATGAAATAACTAAGAAAACAGAAGATGAACCAAGCCTTAATTGATAAAGATTAACGTCGGAGTTAAGAACTTAGGAATTATGTTACAACAAAAATGATTAATGGAAAGAAAACTGAAACTTATTAGCTTATTGTTACGAATGTTGAAGATATTGATGGAGAAAATTTAACAAGTGTGTAAAAGTCGTATTTGTCTGATAATCCGTTGATTAACAATGAAAAAAATGAGTAATTAAGATAGTTTTGCCCGTTGAATTAAGATGTAAGCCCTGGGTAAATATGACTATAATATTAACCGTGCGTATTGATAAATTAAATCATAAAACTTGTAATCGTTAATGCCTGAATTGGCAGAGAGTTTGCATTATTTTCTACACGAGAGGGAAGAGTATTTACACGTAGCCAGATGTTTCTCCATCTCGCGTCTAACATTTCTAGAGTGTAACGAATTTTTGTTCAATTACTGGGACAGACACGACGCCGGAATAACTAACAAATTACCCCATATTGACGGATTTACTGCACTGAGACGCTCGAGTATAAGATACTTTACAGTAGTTTAAAATCCTTTCGCCTTTCTCTCAGGGGGGAAAAAATGGCCCCAAATCTCTTGGAAATATTGCCGCTGTACTCTGGGATTTTTAGGATAAAGTGATGTGACATGAGAAAAAAAGTCTAATAGAAAAATGAAGAAATATGAAACAATGACGTGTCAAACTACTGCTGCAATTATCATTATTAATTACTACATTATGACTGTTAGGGAGAGGATCAAGATATATCTTTGATTACTACAATTATCTCGCATTATCCATGTTACTATTTTTCAATAAACGAGTCTTGTGACTCTCGTAAACTTAATTTGAGTAATTCGAGTGACATTTTAGATGTAATTTAAACGTTTTTTCGTAATTTATAAAAGGAAAACACATGCAAAAGGAGGATTATCCATTAAATCGCGTTGGTTATTTACTATTAATGAATTTGAAGGCTATTTTAAATGCATGAAAAAAAAATAAACGGTCTATAGTTTATTAAGACGATGAAAAAAAAATAGACAATTGTTACCTCTGCCTAAGGCTAGGAATATAAGCGGCCAACCCTGTGATCCGTTATGATTGGCTGAGATGTTTTTTGTGTGGATTTACGAGTGCATAAAAGAAGTCATTACAAAAGTAATTTTCGTCATAGTATCGATTTCCTTTTTTTTTTCTCTTCGCTTTTCTTTTTATCGTTGAGTTAATTTCTCGAGAGACCCTTTCGTGTTCATTTTTTTATCATATTTTATTCAACCAGAACAGAGGAAAGAGATGAATCTTGAATGGTGTGAAATGTGCGTGAATGGAGATAGATGGTAACGAATGATTTCTGAAGCAATGAGGAAAATTATAAAAATTACAACGTTAATAGATGAATCGACAAATTATTGATTAAGAGACGATAAGTTTTTGTACAAATGTATTATAAATTACTGATCTATCGCAGGAGAAGTACCTTAATACAGATGTTGACACTTGGGGGGAAGGGGGAAGATCGAAATGAATCAATTGTCTCGTTTTTAATTAAAAATTAAGCACAGAATTATATAGTGTTCCTCGTTAATGGGAGTGATAAGGAAACTTGAAAGTCGGGCTTACGAACGTGACGGGCGGGTGGCGGTGGGGAGGGGGAGGGTTTGAAGGCGAACGGACGTAGAATTAGAGAAAATAATATCAAGTTGACTGTCATTGATTAATCTATCAATTATTAAGTAATTCATTGCTAACTTTTAACGGTGAAAATAAAATGAAGAGTAAAACAAAAATCCTTGACATAAGGCAGTTAAATAGGAGTATTAAGGGATTAGAATGTGGTAAAAAAAAACAAAGTAATATTTTTTAAACAAGAAAAAAAGTAAATGCCGACAAATGCCAATCATTGTGTTCTCGTGAGAATCATAATTAATCAGTAATTCTTAAAAGGGAAAAAAAACTCAAGGAAGAAAAATGGATTTATCTAAGTCGTCGTTTAGTCGTTGTAAATTAATTTGTTCGTAAGGGGAGGGGAACGAAACGAAAAAGCCAAGAATAAAAATGCGAGTGAAAGTGACGAATGACTGTGGATACGAGTGACTGGGAGATTAGAACGGTTTGATCAGACGGGGAATTTGTTTAAGCCAGCTGTTAAGCATTTGAATAATTTTTCTACCGGTAAAAAAAAAACAAAGATTTAAAGTGAAAGAAATAATGAAACCTCGAATTTTAACGTAAATTTAATTATGAAAAATATAAGTAAATGACAAGAAAACTAAAAAAATTGATTATTAAGCCCATGGTTCGCAAAGTCTAAATAAGGATTTTAAACAGAGAGAGTATTGACTACGTTATTATCGCATAATAGTGCATAGGAAATAAAACATGAAGAAAACAAACAAGTAACCTATAATGAAATCATAAAATAATTCGTTAGTTTAATAATTAAAAAGGAAAAAAACTTAAAAAATGAGGAATGAACGTCTGCGGCAGTATTTCCAAATAAAAGTGGCCAAATTATTTTAGTTTCCCATCGAATCTAAATTGAAATTGATTTTTATCCTCAATAGCCGTTCATCATTAATTGAAAAATGAGAGAAAGGCAGTCAGCGCGGGGGGGGGAGGACAGCAAAACCTTTAAAATTACCCACGAAATTAAATTCAACTGGTCCCAAAAAAAAATCGATAATTCTTCCCCCTAGTACCGATGACACCCCAAGAACCAGTACTATTACAGTTACTGTTACTTCATTTACTATTAATTGAAGATGAAAAAAAACCTATACTACCTACAACTATTAAATAATAAACAATCTACATCTATTGATACCATGAAACAGTAAAGAAAAACTAAGTGAATAAATATATGCAGATCTATTATATTGATAAAAATACTTAACGGTGTTTCTAGTGGATTAATTGATTAATTGATACTTAAGAATACAATATTATCTATAATCATATTAACGATATAATAATTGGTATGTAACGATGTAAAGGTGATAAGTTGAATATGAATATTATTAGCTGTAATAATAACATAGAAGACGTGAAGAAATCACTATTCATAAAGTGCATACTGATATAGCTTACGAGGAATTATTGAATAGAAAATGAAAATATTGAGTAAAATACAGATGAAAAAAAAAATTATAAATACTGGAGTAATTGCAATTGTCAATCCATCACAGACTGGCTCCTTGCATCCTTTAACGTAATTAAGTTATTTCAATAAGAATCGATTAATTTCCTCTCTAGTTTTTGTTACATTTTAATTTTCGTAAATTTATCCTTTTTGATTTAGCTTTAAAACACTGCACAGCTTCTCAACGCTTGTATTCATCATTATGTAGAGATTTTGGAGACCCTTTGAGATGTTAATAATTTATCCTCATTCATCATATCAAAATAATCAATTGATCACTGAATGAATCGTCATAAGTGGAATGAATGAGTGAGTGTTTGTCGTCAAATCAAAATTTTCTGTAAAGCCCCAGTGAAATTCGCTGCGGGAGGGGGGGGTGGCGTTAAATAGCAGTTGCCAACTCTCAGAAAGTTGAAAAAAAGAGAATTATAAAAAAAAGAGTATTGAATATTTCAAGATTTCGTTAAAGAATGGGTGAAAAAAAGTTGAATGTTAACCTTCTGCTTTCTTTTTGTCGCTTCTGTTTTTTCACAATTAGAATCTGTTTCCTCACAATTAGCTCATACATGTCATTGTTTCACTGGAAAAACAAAAAAAAAAATTGCAAGGAGAGAAGGAGAAACGAATTGCAAAAGAGAGAATTTTTTTTTTACACTTTGTATTTTTCTTTCAACTTTTTTCTTACGGGTGAGAAAAGCCATCGAGGTGGTCCACTTTTTCGTTCTTTCAAAAAGAGTATTTGTTTTTTTGTCGAGAGTCAAGGGAAAATGAATGAGAGTGCAGTGTTTTATGCTTCGTCAAACAGTCTCAAGCTGCAATTATCATAAGACTGAATCATTCTGATTCAACTAGAGTAATTAATGTAATTCATATCCGGGTATTCCATTAATCCTCACTTCCATTATTCCTTTTGTTCCTCCTTTCAGTTCCCACTCATCCACCAAAATTCAAAACCGAGACCGGAAGCCTGACACTCGTATCAAATGGAGATGCACCGGGTCCTCAGCGTTTCTCCCTCTCCCATCACTCAAATTACCATCCCTATAGACGCTAGGCGTTGAAAACAGAGGAACGTCAATGGGAAATAGAGAAAAAAACGTGAATAAAAAAAGAGGGAGGGGATGAGGGGCGAGAAAACCAGATCCAAACACAAAAAGAGCTTTAACGACGGCACAAAAGGGGGGGGGGGAACAAGTGTGAGAGTTTTTTTTCCATTGCGACGAGTATGCAGAGGAAAATAACAAGCGCACCACCTCTATTTTTTGATTGTTGAACGTGGAAATTCTTCTTTTTTTAGAATTTGTTATTTTATAGACGTAACTTTGAATGTTTTTCCCCTTGAATTTAAGGAGTATAAGTTTAGAAGAAATGATAAATCCAGGGAATCTAAAATTAAGGGAAATTAATATTACGATAATTCATATTTTAATATTCTATCAAATTTTACATATAAAGATTCTCGATATAAATCAAGTGGACGGATTAAACAACTGAATATTAATGCCTCTGGATTCAATGCTGGCGCATCCTCAATCCCGATATCAATGAATTACCGCGGAATTAACGATAGATTAAGCATCACGAATTATTTTATACGATTCTGACAGGCGGCCAGCGTTATGGATCCTCGAATCACACCATCATCCCGATTATATCGTCGACCAACGACAGCTACGCTGGTGGACCCCAGCGGGGGTACTCAACTTCATCGAATAACTCCAGCAAGTATCATCCGTACAATCGTTAAGGCTCGAAGCTGCATTGAGAAGCAAAGGAACAGAAAAGAGAACAAAATATTTCTATATTTTTGAAGGAGGAAGTCAAATAACTGGAGGAATATTACTCCAAGGGGTTCTGATGCCTCCTGCATTCACGAACAAATTCATAATTCATCTCGTTAAAATTAATTATTAAAATACTGTTGATGAAGCCAAGTATTACTACGTAATGCAAACTGGGTGGTTGTCCCAGTGTCACTTCCACTAGCTCCTACGTTTTTTTACATTTCAGTTTTCTCGTTGCAGTTTTCATGGGAAAATAAATCAGTGAATTGGGTAACGTAAATTCCAATTCATTTCATTTCATTCGATACGTTCATTAATGTTGTGAAAGGGTAAAATCGGATGAGTTGTTTTTCGCTGGATATTGAAGGGAGATAGAGAAATTTTGATGTTTACATTGTTTTATAGGTTTAGTTTCGATCGGAAAAAAAGTGCATAAACAAATTTATGTCGTTTTATCCATTCACAATATCAACGAAAATATCATTGTACAAGGACGAACATATATCAGTGAATTGGTAAACATCCACTTCATTTCATTTCATTCGATATTTTCATTGATTTTGCGAAAGGGTAAAATCGGGTAAGTTTTTTTTGCTGGATATTGAAGGGAGATAGTGAAATTTTGGTGTATACCTTGTGTTCTTGGTTTAATTTCGCTCTGCAAAAAAATTTCTGTCGTTTTATCCATTGACAAAATCAACGAAAATATCAATACAAAGACGAACATAAATCAGTGAATTGGTGAACGTAAAAGTCCAATTCATTTGATTTTATTGGCTATTTTCATTGATTTTGTGAAAGGGCACAATCACATGAGTTGATTTATTGTTGAATATTGGAGGCAGGTAGAGGGTTTTCAATGTATAGCTTTCCTCTCAGCTATCGTTTCAATATTTAACAAAAACCAAACTCATGAGTTTTTACCCTTTCGCAAAATCAACAAAAATATTGATATACAAAAACAAATATAAATCAGTGAAATGGTGAACATCCACTTCATTTCATTTCATTCGATATATTCATTGATTTTGTGAAAGGGTAACATCAAATGAGTTAATTTATCGCTGAATATTGGGGGAAGATAGCGAATTTCCGATGCATCCTTTTTTTTGCAGCTTTTGTTTTGCTCTAAAAAAATTCTGCATGAAAATTTTGCTATCTCCATCCAATATCCAGCGAAAACGAAACTCATGCTGGCCTACCCTTTCACAAAATCAATGAAAATATGAACATACAGATACAAACACAAATCGGCGAATTGGAGAAGATAAAAGTAAAATTCATTTTATTGCATTCGAGATTGCCGTTCGTTTTGTGAAATGATAAAATCAGATGAGTGTGTTTTTTGCTGAATACCTTTTTCATAGCTTTCCTTTCGCTCTAAAAAACTGAATGCCAGTTTGGCTATCTCCTCTGGATCAGGAGCTATATATTCATCAAACAATGAATCTAAAAATGACCCAGGGATGTTTGGAAATCCTAAATTGAAATTAATGTTAACAAAATGTAAAAAATTTAATCGTTCTATTGGATTTGATCAATTCGTTGGAATTAATTCCCATGAATTCTGCAGAATTACGAGCATAATAAATATTATATGACTCTCTCCTCGAAATGTCGTTAGATACGACATTAAACTCGGAGATGACGATGGATTGAACCTACGTAGTAAATGTTACGTACGACGTAAGTGAATTCAATCACACTCGTCATACTCTCGAAAATCAATCTCGTCCCACATGATGACGAGAACTTCAAGAATAAATACAATTGAACTATTACCCATATTTTTGTTATACGAGAGAAGAGCCAAGTGGGCGTTTATTTTATAGGATTGGATCGGAGAGGCGAAAATAACTACGAATTAATAAATCTTCACATTTTTAATAACATCCATTTAGTCTCACATTGAATTATCCTTCAAATTAAATACGTTTATTTGAATTATCACATTTACCAGATATGTACATTATTCACTTTCATTATTCTTTCTATAAGCGTTTGTCTTTCACAGGTTCTATCGGCGTTATTTCTGGGTAGAGTCGTAAAAAAATTGATTATACTTGTTCAGTCTCGATGGAGGGATTCACGTGACTGTGCACCTGTGGCAACGTTGCTTATCACTTTTATCGTCGTCTCCTTGATCCAGATGTTTTTCAACTTTATCTTGAATTATAAGAGATTAACAAGACTGTTGGGGGGGTATTCGTGAAATTTGAGGGAAAATTGAGTTGTTAATACTTTTTTTTCAAATATCTCTGAAAAAATGCGAGGGAATTTCTATTTGATAAACATGAAAAATGATTTTACTTGTAGACGGGGTGATTTTTCATCTTGAAATTTTTAATTCAACAGATAAATATGAGAAGCTCCATGAGTATTTAACGTCATGCAATTCATATTTTGCAATTTTTCGTGACGATTTTCTTCGTATGAAGAAATACTTGAAATTGATTAAACTTTCGGGGACATTAATGGCATGAGATCGATTTCTCTTTATGCTATAAAATTCCAAATCGACTTCTGGTGATAAAAATTTGGTACTCGAAATTAAGATTCTAAAATTAAGGGTCATGAGGGTCAGAATAAGGGTTATCAGGGTTACAATCAGGGTCATAAGGGTCACGAGGGTCAGAGTAAGGGTTCCAATAAGGGACATAGGGGTCAAAAAAAAGGTCACCAGGGTCAAAATAAGGTTCACGAGGGTTATAATGAGAATGAGGTTAAGGATCCCAATGGGTCACAAAGGTCAGATTAAGGGTTCAAATAAGCGCGATGGGGGTGAGAAACTAAGGGTCCGAAGGATCAAAATAAGGGTCTCAATATCTTTCTATATTGCAAAAATCCAAATCGACTTTTGGTGATGAAAATTTGGTGCTCGAAATTAAGACTCCAAAATTAGAGGTCAGAAATGAAGGGTCAAAATAAGGGTCACGTTTTAGATTAAAGGCCACAAGGGTCAGAATAAGGATCATAGGGGTCGGCGAGCGGAGGAGAGCAGGGGGCGTAGCCCCCTAGTCTGAAATAGTTCATAAATGATTTATGAAAAAGTCATGACTCCAAAAATTTCTATTTAAAAATTATTCTATAAATTTTCCTCCAAAAGCAGAGATTCCCCAAATGTCTTTTAATAGTTCAGTATGAAAAGTCAAATTTGGACCTGTAATGTTTTTTAAATAATAAAATGGGGTTTAAATAGTTTACATTTCAACGAGAAAAAAAGGTTCACGTACTTGAATATTCTTAATTATCACAAAAACGTGAAACTTTGAAAAAAAAAATGCAGTCAATTTTTCTTCTGGAAAATTTAATCTACAAAGACATATTTCCCCTGCATTTAAAGAGTTCAGAGATATTAACGGAAGAAACTGCACGTAATGCTGGGGATTTAGTGAGGAAAAATTTACCAGCAACATTTTTTTTATCGATCGCCAAAAGTGCTTCATGCAATTCCTTGCTTAATTGAAGTTCAGGGCTGAGTCCAGAGGCCCATATCATGAGCATCCTATACCCATGCTCTTTGTAGCTAGAAGACCCTTGAAATAACGAAGAGGAAAAAAATGAGGGACATGTCAGTCATAAATCGATGCTTTCATGATGTCCTCATCAAAGCCCCCAAGGATAACGAGGCCATTTACTCACCAGTGTACTGCTGTTCAATGGCGTGTATGTGATCATGGGTAAATGCCCAGTGGAGTGCGAGTTTCCTCCAGTCCCCAGCATCAAGTTGCTTGTAAGCCAGTCTCCGGAGAATACAGCGCACATGCTCGGTAATTCCCCCATTGTATACACCAGATACGGTACTCCGCCTGGCCTCCTCTCTCCATCGTCTACTGACCGGGATCAGATCTCCATTTTTCTCCGATCCTTGATCCTCCTGAACCATATTCAATAACTTGACCTTTCGGTATCTCCGGTGGGAAAATTTAGGGAAAATAAAAACAATTCAAGTTTTCATCTTTGAATCTTCTTGATTGTGAGGGATTTCAGGGGAAATTGGGAGGAGGGATTTTGCGTTGGGATTTTTTCCGTTATTGGGGAAATCTCTTGACATTTTACGGAATCCCACGTGAAATTTCGGCATTTATTGGGGAAGAAGATGAATTTTGGAGGAAGAAAAAGTGGTTTTAAGAAGAAAATTGCCAAGAGATTTTTTGAAAATGAGAAGACGTTGTTAGGCAACATTCATTTCTTTAATGGGAAGATAATTTCTTTTGTTCACTGCATTTTCAGCTAGAAATAATGACCCACAACATTTTCCCCGAAAATTTTTCAATTTCTCATGTCTTTAAATCGCCCTAATTATGAGGAATTTCACGGGAAATCGTAAGGAGAGATTTCGTGTTTGAAATTTTATCTAATCGTACCTGAAATTTATGCATTAATTTCGAGAACAAGTGATTTTTATTTTAAAAAATTGCCACGAGATTTTTTGCAAATATTTTTTTGAAAATGAGAAAACGTTGCACAACATTCACGACAAAGAACAAGTCAATTTTTTATTTCTTAACTGTGGAGATAATTTCTTTTGTTCACTACCTTTCAAGCTAGAAAAAGCCCCACAATATTTTCCCCGACAAATTTTCGATTGCTCATGTCTTTGAATTGTCGTAATTATGAGGAATTTCAGGAAAAATCGTAAGGAGATATTCCGTGTTTGATATTTAATGGAATCTTACCTGAAATTTATGCATTAATCTCGAAAACAGGTGATTTTTATAAAAAAAATTTCCAACAGATTTTTTGAAAATGAGAAAATTTATGCAACATCAGAACAAGTCAATCTTTCATGTCTCAAACGTGAGGAGGTCATTCTTTATTAAATCTTTTTCTGCTAGAGAAAACGACCTCCAAAATATGAGGACGAGTGTTTTTTCAAAATTTCCCAGAAGAACGCTTTCTCAATTTTTTTAGGGCATGACTCATTATAAAGTTTAATCACAAAACAAGTTGGGAAATAATCCTCTTCCCGAAAAACATTTCTCACCAAAATTATCTGTTCTCACAAAAATTAATTTCTCTGAAACCATCATTGTATTCGTAATTTATATTTCATACCAAATACTCTAGTCTTGCTGTTTTGATGATCATATCCACAATCGCCGTGAAGCTACCCCCAGCAGCGATATACAGAGGTGTTTTTCCGCTCTAGAATGAACGATTCCAAACAAAAAAAACCATCAGTGTTCAGCTAATCAGGAGAACCCATGACCAAACCCACAGAATGAGAGAAAATAATCGTTTACTTTTTCCTTCTGTTCAATGTTAACCCCGGCTGCGAGTAGGAGTTTGCAGACATCCGTGTGACCCACTTCCGCCGCAATGTGTATCGGAGTTTGGAGTTTCTGGAAATGCGATGTGAGGTCAATAGGTTTCCCCTTGGTTTCATGGGAATTGCCATACCCATTTCCACCTAATGTTTTCATTTCTGATTATGAGAAATTTTAGTAGAAAATCCTAATGCTCTCGCTTGGGAATTCCGTGAGTTTTTTCATGCGACGGTTGAAAATACGACAGTTTTTCCCGGGGGGGCTCTTCAATAGCATTGAAGAGTAGAGAATATCTTGTCGAAAATATTGGACTATAAATTGATGTTTACTTTTTTCTCTCGAGAAAATGGTATTGGTATTTCGTTCATAAAAATTCTTTAGCATGTAGTTTGGAATAATTTTTTTTTTCAGTGGAAATTGCAGGAAATACTGGGGATTCTTATACTGGGGATATCTCTGGATTTTTCTATTGCACCCAGAAGAATAGTTTATTTAAATTAAATCTATTTGATTTGATGGAAATGAAGGGGTTTATTTAAGTACCTCGTAATAAAGTTTCAATTGAAACATCAATTAAGCCGTTTTTGCATTTCTGATTATGAGAAATTTTCGTAAAAAATTCTAATGCTCTTGTTTAAAAATTCTATTATTTTTTTCATGATCTTCGTTGAAAATGTGATAGTTTTTCGCGCGCGTTATTCAATAGAAGAATATCTTATCGAAAATATTGGTCAATAAATTAATATTTACTTTTTTCTGACGAGAAAATTGTATTGGTATTTCGTTTCATAAAAATTCTTTAGCGTAAAGTTTCGAATAATTTTTTTTTCAATGGACATTGCAGGAAATACTTGCCAATTTAGTTTTTTCATTTCTGATTATGATAAATGTCAGTAGAAAATGATAATTCTCTTGTTTGAGAATTCCACTAGTTTTTTTCATGATCTTCGTTGAAAATGTGACAGTTTTTCGCGGTCGTTCTTCAATAGAAGAATATCTTATAGAAAATATTGGACAATAAATTCATATTTACTTTTTTCTGTCGAGAAAAGGATATTGTGAATATTTTTCTTAATGCAAATTGAAGGAAACAAGAATACTAATCGGTCATTTTCAACTGACGATTTTTTCCGTGCAAGCAAGACTTGTTTGAGAACTTGTTCACTTCCCTCCCAGTATAGAGGAATCTAGAAAGTTGTGTCAGAATAATCCATGCAATATCTCCATGCAAGCTAATTCCCATTCACTCACCGAATTAAGAGAATTCAGATCCGCCCCATGTTTTATCAGTATTTCCACAGAATCCACTTGGTTGTTTTGACATGCGAGATGAAGCGCTGTATTCCCAGCCTCCACAAGCAGAAAAAACGAATGAGAAAAAGTTCAAAATTCTAGGAGAGAAGATTAACGTTTCAGCTTACATTGCACTGTACATTGGTGATACTGCTGTGCTGGAGAATGAGCTCCAGAATGCCCTTGCAGCCCTGACTGGCTGCAACATGGAGAGCTGTTAACCCAGCCTCATCAGCTATCTCAATGTCTGCATTGGCTTTTAATAGGGTCTGTACTATTCCGGTGTATCTCATTCGCGTTGCCACATGCATAGGGGTGTTTCCATCCTTGTCCTGGCTGTTTAAGTTTGCACCGAGTTTGATGAGAATTTCAACTGCCTCGCCGTGACCATCAGCGCAGGAACAGTGCAGGGGGGTTTGTTGTTTCTGGTTCATTTGGGATTGCGTAAGATTCATTTTAGAACGTAACAAAAATGTTATGGGAAAACCCCGCACTTTTTCTAAGGAATTTTATCAAAATTCTATTCATTTTTTCTATTGAAAATTATGCATCTTTATGGTGGTTTATTCAATAGATATTTTCGTAACAAATAAAAAAAATACAGCAGAAAAAAAATAAGGAAAACGAAGGAATTGCCCAAGCATTTCCTTGAAGGGGAGACTAATGAGATTTCTCATATATTGAAAATCGATTATATATGTCTAAAAACGAATAATTAGTGGATAAAAATTAATTGGTTATTTTTCGTTTGCCCGGCAGACGCTTAAAATGTTGAAAATAGTCCAGCGCCTCAGTTTTTTCAGCTACAAAGGTTTTTTTTTCAAAATTTGTCAAAAAATGGGTGCAATTACAGTTATGAATTAGTTTCTTGAAATGCAACTACTACACAGCTAATGTCGTTTTTTAAATAAACAATTGCACCATTTATGTAAAGTAGTCCGAAAAATGTTTCTGAAAGAATCGAGAATATATTAAATTTTTTTAAGGATAATTTTTCTGCCTATTTCACATGGACGGCGCCAATTCTTATATTAAACAAAACGAAATTAGCTGTGTAAGAGTCGAATTTCAAAAAACTAATTCTTAGTTGTTATTGTACACATTTTTTCTAAAATTTGTAAAAAACCTCGTTTTCAGACATACATAATCGTTCTTCAATGCATGAGAAAACTCACTCCGATAGCCTGCGACTTTTAAAACTCATAGTAATCTCCCCTTAAAAGTTAAAATCAAGGGAGAAAAGTACTTTGAAATAATGTTTCGATCGTTATTTTTTTCTGTCGGGTTTTGCCTATAAGTATTCTCGGGCATAAATTTTCTCGAATTTTATAATGAAAAACAAATAAAAAAACAACGGAAAAACTGACGGAATTCAGTTCCAGAATTTCAATGGAAAAAACAAAAACAGGGGAGAAGAGCACTTCGAAATGAACTTCAGCAGATTCAGAATTATTACAAAGGGAGGAATGTTCATTTCAAGCATTGATATTGGATCTCCGTTCGGTTATTATTTACTTTATCAGTGACGTCCAGCTTAATTTCCGGTATTTTGGATAGTGCCTCAATGACACCAGGATTGCCAGAAACAGCGGCGTGATGCAGAGCAGTGGCACCTGTGCAGTCAATGGCATCGATATTCAGCGTCTCCACAGCTCCAGTCAAATATTCAATTACATCTGCGTTGTTCCCTCGCGATGCACACATCAAAAGGGTATATTTTTTCTGCGCACAGAAGCAATTGCGAGGGAAAGTCATGAACAAGTTTGATTCGAGGATTTTTCTACTCTTGATTGCAGAATATTGTTGTTGTTCGTGAAAATTATTCTAGCGTCTCAATGAATTACAGTTTATATTCATGAAATTTATTTTTAAAGAATTCTCTATTTTTAAATTTTTTTATTCAACAATATTAATTTTCCTTATTATTTTTTTCATTGCGAAATGCAGATCTTCTATTTGTTGTCTTTTAATTCCAATGAATTACACTCCATATGTATTGAATATACGAGAAAATATTTTCAATTCCAGGATTTTTATATTTCTGAGTAAAAAATATTGTTACTCACAATTTCAGAATAAAAAATTCTGAATTTTTTATTTTTTTTTATTAACAACAATAACAATCTATAATAATATTGTTAATATATATTAACAATATTATATATATTGTTATTAACAATATTATATAATATAACATTGTTATATTATATATATTGTTATTAACAATATTATATTGTTAATCACAATATATATAATATTGTTATTGTGAATAACAATATTTTTTATTTCTTCATTAAAAAAACAAATTGCAGATTTGTGACATCGAACTGAACTCGTTGGATCTCATTCTAATACAGAAACAGTTCTCGATTCTCAAATCGAGAATAAAAAATGATTGAAGCCACATTCTCCACATTTTGAATTCAAGAGCAGTCATCCTCGTAAGAAAAAATATTCTCCGTTCAATACTTGAAAAAATCTTCATTCAGTGCTCAAAGAGTCCTCTGCATCGAATGAAATATAAATTTTTTCCCCCGTATATAACGAGAGTAGAAGGAATTATGAGAAAAAGTCGGGAAGTCCATTAGGGAAGAGTTTTAACTTTTGAATGATGAGAAATTCAATGGGGTATCCTCGTGGGTGGAATGCGGCAAATGCTCAGCTCCCCGGGTACGTTGAATTACCGGGCTCTCCGCAACAGTAATACCTTGTAACATGTGTTACGTATGTAGGTAAGCATCATAGAAGTGATACTCGGCGCTACGTCGCATATCGTAAAATCGATATTCAACTGAGGTACGAATTTATCTCGGAATTTTATGATCCTCCTCGAGCCTCAAGAATATAACTTATTCGTGAGACAGCGTGACTGATTTTATAGGGCTGTAATATTAAATTCTCCAACTGGGGTTATTCCACTTTTTTATCGTCAAGTACACGAAAGTTGACAATTTAAGATTCATGTTCAAATCAAATTTATGAGTTGAAATTATTATCCGGGGGG